TGGCTGTGTGCTGGACCTTCAGCTTGCCTCCGGTACTCTTCACTGTAATTGGACGATCGGCTTTCCTGATGTCGGTAACCATGTCTTTATTACAGAATAGATCCAACGTGGACTGGTTGTCCAGTAGTTGGATCTCTCTCATATCTATGTCGTCCAATCCTTTTGTGTGGGCGACTATGCCTTGCTTAGTCGGTTTCTTCGTTCCGTCCGTCTTCGTTCCGTCCGCGAACAGCGGGACGTCGGACGTAACGAAACCTTTCTCGACTTTCTCGTCATCTGACTGCGTGATGTCAGAGTCGGCATCATCCTCTCTCAGGGTTGTCAATGCTGTCGTCATTTTATCTTGCAGTTTGCTGATAGTAGCTAGGGTTCTCCTTTGAACGCTACTAGAGCTTTTCTTGCTCGACGTGCTTGACTTGCTACGCTTGCTCGACCTCGACTTGTCATCGTCGTCTTTGTCTTTATCTTTGTCTTTATTTTTGTCAGGACAGTGAGATGCTGGATGTCCTTTATCGTGGCAGGAAAAGCATTCTTTCTCTTTCCAGTATTCTTTATCATAGCTCGCCTTTCCGCGGCCTTTTCCTCTGCCACCACCCCGTCCTCTCCCGCCTTGTGCTGTCTGAGCAAAGGAGCTTCCGTGGGAAGTGGAGTGTCGTGGGATGTTACTCTTGGTGTGTTTGTCCAAAAGGTGTAATACCTCATGTAACGTGTGGGGATAGTTATCAGTGCCTTTGGCAAAGTCGTCCCTCAGGTTCTGTTTAAGCTTGGTATTTTTGGCTGAACTATTAGTTAAGAAGATGTAGCTATAGTACCGTTCCTCTGCGTATGCCGAGACTGTCCTCTGGTCTTCGACTGCCAGGTCAGCGTATTCGGTGCCTGGGTGGAGTAGGTTGGCCGTATGCAGCAGCGCTGCGTCGTGTAGCTTGGAAATACCCACGGATTTTGCAATGTCCTTCTTCGTGGTAAATTGCTCGTGGTATTCGGAAGCGGTGAGGCTCCCTTGGTGGAAACTCAACAGTTGTTTTTCCAGTTGGTAGATGGTGTGGTACACGTAGTTATCGTCTGTCTGGGCCATGATCGTCTTATGGATCAGTTTTCGTAGCTCCAGTGGGTCGCATCTTAACAGGACGTCATCGTAGTCCGTGTTCTGCTTCATCTTGTCCTTTAATAGTCGGGTGCACTGCCCTAGGATCAAGTTGAAAGCTTTGCCTCTATTTTCTTGTAGTTTTGCCAACCTCGTAAGGTGGGTCTTCATCAGCCCTCCATACTCTGCTTTCTCGAGCCCCCGGAGTTCTTCTTCCGGTGGGTCGGCTATGGCTGCCATAAGGTCGGCTATTTCATTAACGAGTTGTGCTTTTTCTATCGTTAGTGTGCGTAAGCTACCGAGAGTCAGGTCATTGGTGACTGCGGTTATCTCTGATTCTAGTAGCCGTAGGCTTGCTTGGGTTGCCGATAGGAGACGATTATTGTTCGCTGCACGTCGTACGTTCGCCGTTTCAAGCCTGTTCCGGGTCTCCTCTGAGTACACCGGTGCTACCAACACTGTCTGTTTCAGGTTGCGTAGCTCATTGCTCATGTCGTCACCCATCGTTTGTCCAACGTGGATGACGATCTTCTCCCATGTGCGTATCATCTGGTCTGCCATTCCAGATCCAGTTGTACCGAAGTTAAACACATGTTGGTCGAGGGCTTTGCATGAACCTTTCTGCTGGTTTGACGATGGGCTGGTTCTTCCATGCCCTCGTGCTTTGCCGCCTCCTCGGCCACCTCTTCCTTTACCTCTACCGCTCATTGTCTATGCTACGGTAGGTGGACTATTTCAATTCGTTGTTTTTTGATTGACTAGCTCTTTAATTTAAGTTCTCGTCCGACTACTTATTCGCATTTTGGCTATGGGGCGATAACTTCAAATTTATACTCCTGGCTAGGGAGTGTTAAATCTATTTACTAAAGATCTTGCAAGGAGGGAACGACTGCTTCACACACTGTGCGGTCGTTTCCACTCCGAACCCGTTTCTTTGTATTGTTGATTCCTTGTTGGGTGCCCTTCCTTTGGCCCCTGCGCTGGCACTATGGCTTTCGCGCTTGTTGTTGGCTCTGACAGTTCCGGCTGGATGCTGCCGGCGATCGGCAATCCTTGTGGATTCTGCCGATGAAACTCTGCTGCGTCGTCGTTGACTGCAGTCTCCTCTTCGGCACGACGGTCGCGTCGTTCGAAACTCTGTTGCCGCCGACGAAACTCGTTGCGTCGTCGCGGTCGATCCGTCCTCGGATCCTTCACTCGTATGCCTTCAGTTCCACCGAAGGGCTTCTCTTGTTGCTGTCGATGACAGGCTTCTTGCTGTTGCTGTCGATGCTTCGACAGGCTTGGTCTGCTATTGATCCATGCGTCGTTGCAATCCGTCCTCGGATCCTTGCGTCGTCGCGATCGGCGTTGGGCCGATACTCGCTCTTGCGTCTTCCTGCTACCGTTGGCTTCGTTGCTTCGATAGGCTCCTCTTCTCTTCTTCGCTTCGACTCGATAGTAGACCACTGCTATTCGTGATAGCAGCCTTTTTCAGTAGTATGTTAGTTGCTCTAAGCTCTCTTAGTTGTTACTGTTGTCTATTGAGTTACTACTGAAAAAGTGGGTGGGTTACCAGCTTTTGCTACTGGCATCAAATTCTAGTACAGAGGTACAGGTTGAATCCCTAATCGCGAATCCCCAACACTGACTGTACCTCTCAGTTGCCAAAGCTGGATTCCTTTTTGCTGCTTTAGCCCTTCCCTTGAAACCAATCACTTTTTGTTTCTTCATTGGCCCAGTAAACCTCGAACATTCTGTTTCTGGTCAAGGTTTTTGGCTCCGATTCATCTCCTTCACTACCTTCCTCCCTACCTGCATTCGGCTCCAATTCCTCTCCATCGCTACCTTTCTTCCTATCTGCATTCGGCTCCGATTCCTCCCTATCTGCATTGGCATCACTATCATCCGAGTCTCCGTCGCTACCTTTGTCATTCGCTGCATCACCACCTTGCTAATTCTCTGCATTTGCATCATTAACATTGACAACAATTTACGTCAGTCTCTAACAAACTTAATGATGAAGCATTTATTTAAGCCCTTTGTACCAAAGCTACTCAAATTCCTGTGACTTAGACGAATTGAGCAATTGTGCTAATTAAACCCACTTTGAAAGACTTATGAATAGGTGACTTCAAAAGACTTTTTAATCTTGTTTTCGTATTTATATAAGGGCCAACGAAGAAGATTTAACAACCGTTGAATTGAACCAGAGTTTTCAATCTTGTTCTAGATTTGGTGACCAGGCTCTACTGTGAAGACTAATGGAGAACACTTTGGCGAATGGATGAAAGTAGATTTTCCGATCACAGAAGGGTACCGAATTACTTAATTGCTAGATAGAACGAACAAAGCTACATACAACCCATTTAACATTAACATCACATATCCAATTGCTTCCACCATTTTTTGGTTGTTCAAAGAACACTCTTTAACACTAGGGAAGCAAAATTATGCTAGTGAAGATCACATGCATTGCAATTATGCCTCCTAATTTTCATCATTATGAATATCTGTAGATTGTTCACTGAAGGTAGATTGTTCACTAACATCCATTCATAATCGGAAAAAATGATCCTGCTAAATAATAGTCAAATCCTGCCTCTTTCCCTTCTTGTGCCAAATCAAATATAAAAGATCAAGAACTACATCAAATGGTTCTTCTTATTTTCTAAAGTTGATGTCAGCTCAATGCATCTTCATCAGGTTATGGCCAACCATGCCACCCCGATTCATCATCAATTGGATTTCTTCTTGTGAAGAGTCCATCAATTTTTGTTTCTTAGAGGGAACCTGTAAGGATTCTGTAAAATGGTGCAGTGCTGGTGTACACTGGAAACGAAAAACTCTGCCAAACAATGAATTTGCTCTGTAGTTTCACTCTACAGAAGGGGCAGAGTGAACTCCCAGAGTTTTGGCTAAGTAATGAGTTCGAACAGGCCGCAGATGTATGTGACCCGAGTTGGCATGACAGGGACGGCAGGCGCATGATTCGATCCTTGCACAGACCAGGTATACTACTATCTATATATTTATACCTATATATATTTATAACCACAGGTTAACGGTCCTAGAAGAGAAGTTGTCACATTCACAAAGTGCACAAAAAGAAAGCAATTACGCCCTCACGCAAACCAAAAAACAGTCAAGGCTGCACCGACAAAAGACATATGGGTATGCACGAAGGAGGCAACAAAGAAGAACACATATTATCTTATAGGTTAATTTTTCAGGTCTCTCTTGACTATAGAATAGTACCTAAAACCTTCCACCTCGAATCCTCCTGGCTAGCCGGATATCTTTTGGCATGATGGTGATTCTCTTGGCATGGATAGCACAAAGGTTGGATCATTGGAAGATGTCCACAAGATGGGCTTCTGACGCTTGCTGGAGAGCTTCCATTGCAGACCCTTGGAACCTGATGTCTTTTCTAATATCAGAAGCTATGTCTCGAACAAGACGCTGAAAGGGCAGTCTCCTGATTAGGAGATCGGTTGACTTCTGGTACCTTCGAATTTCTCTGAGAGCCACAGTTCCTGGGCGATAGCGCTGTCGCTTTTTGACACACACCTTCAATGGAGGAGGGACCTTCCTGGCGGCCCGCCTTGCTAGCGCCTTCCGGAATCTGGGATGTTGTCCGTCGACTACTTTGCTTGCAGTTGGTTTAGTCCTTACCATACTGGAGGAAATCAATTTTATGTCTCATTATTTTTGGACTGCGGATGTAGTCATTAAACTGCATGCATAGTAGCAGGCCGTCTTTGCTCTCTACATACTTCCTGCTGGTATGATATTAATATAGTCGTTGCAGTACTGGGGCTGGGGGCTGGTTGGGGTCATTCTGTTTCTATATACTGAAAGTTGGGTTCGTTGGCATGAAATTCAAGCAATCTCGTTGGCATGAACTATTTTTTGAAAAAGTGGATGGGGGGAAGGGGGGAGAGATTTTGAAAATGTGTCAGTCTCACAAAAATCCTGTCCGGACAAACGAAAACGAAAAACAAGGAATAATATGCCACTCCCTGGTTCTTGGTTGGATAGTGAGTGTGCAGATGCAGAAGCGTATGCCAATGCTACCAGGATCTTGTATAGTGGGTGCCCTCTGTGTCTAGAAGAAGATACCTGCAACCTTTGCTTTGAGTTCAAGCTCATGCAGTACTGGGGCTGGGGGCTGGTTGGGGTCATTCTTTTTCTATATACATTTGGGTTCGTTGGCATGAAATTCAAGCAATCTCGTTGGCATGAACTATTTTTTGAAAAAGTGGATGGGGGAAGGGGGGAGAGATTTTGAAAATGTGTCAGTCTCACAAAAAATCCTGTCCGGACAAACGAAAACGAAAAACAAGGAATAATATGCCACTTTCTGGGGTTAAATTACTCATTTAGCTTAACAAGCTATTGGCCACGGAGTGACTTTATTGACGCGGGCAAGTGGTGGGGGAGATCCCCACCTAACTGAGTCGTCATCTACTTGTTGGCCCAATCAACATGACCTCATCCACTGGCCCAACGTGGAGCCAGCACCAAGTAGACAGATGCCCTGGGTGGGGGGGTGAGCACATTGATAGGGAACCTGCAGCGCAAAACCTGGGTTACAGGGGCTTACACAGGATTTTTGTCGGTATTGAAACCATTATCACCAAAGGGGCCGTGAGGACCAGATAGATTGCCAGACCAAAGAGTGCGCGCCAGTAAGTGTGTCTGAGTGATCAGGTCCCAAGCTGTGGCAAGTGCCTTGGCATGCAAGGCAAGATGCCAGCAGAGCCCATAGGAGGTGGTACTCCTCAGGCTGGACCAGAGCAGGGTGTAACCCATCCAATGCACAAAAATTGTTAGATAGAGGCCAACAAGCAGGCAGAAGATGGGGTCAAATGACACACTGGCAGTCTGTGGTTCCCAGGAGGGAGTCACAGTGGCTGCTGGAGTGTTGTGGGCTGTTCGAGGAGTTGTTGAGTCAATAGAAGGAGGATAAGGGGGCACTGGGAGTGGGCTGGTGCCAGGGGCAGGAGGGGAGATCCTGTTGGTGTTGGAGTGTTGTTGTAGGAGTTGGGATGTAGCATGGTTGACGGTGTGTTGTAGGATAGAGGCGTGCCTGTGTTCAAGGGTGAGAACAAAGGCATCCTCCCTGATAGGGTAGGGTGTGATTCGGAAGGGTGTGATCCTCAAGATGGCTGCATGCTCTAGAAGCTGTTGGCTGATCATCTGGGGAGTGGTGTTGTGTAGTCTTCGGAGAATGGTGGATGTGGTTGGTTGGGTGAAGTGTGGGAGTGTGGGAATGTCTGGGAGGACCTTGGGTTTGAGTGAAGTTGTGGGTAGACATGGGCAAGTCATGGTGGGTGGTAGGTGGGTTGGTGGGAGAGTTGTGTATCCTGGAGTGTTGACTGTAGTGTCGTTGCTTCAACGCAAGCAATGGAGGTTGCTTGTGAGGTGGTGAGAGGATTGATGTAGAGGGGTTTATTCAAGGGGCAATGCACTGCCACTCCCTGGTTCTTGGTTGGATAGTGAGTGTGCAGATGCAGAAGCGTATGCCAATGCTACCAGGATCTTGTATAGTGGGTGCCCTCTGTGTCTAGAAGAAGATACCTGCAACCTTTGCTTTGAGTTCAAGCTCAACAAGTCGAGGGCTCCAGGTGATAGGTGGGCCACCAGAAACCTAAAAGACCACGCTCCAATTTCACCTCCGGAAACACTGTCAGCGAGTCGAATCCTCTTCATGGAGAAGATGGGCCATGTTTTTGATAGTGGATTGGGTGCTAATAGTAAGAAGAAGAGAAGCAAGAAGACCAATGACAAGAAAGGAACCTGTCAAGGGAAGAAGACTGGTGAGAAGAAGACTGCAGCAGGTGGTCAAAGGTCAAGGACTGCCAAGCACAGACAAGGGAAGAGGAAGGAGTCTAGCAGCGGAGCAGCGGAGAGCAAACAATCAAGGCTGAACTTCACAGTAGAAGGATACCCAAGAGAGTCATCTGAGTACGAGCCTAGTGAGGGCAAGATAGTGTACAGGGCGCCGGGCTATGGACAGAGCAAGGAGGACGAGGATGATGGCATCGTAGCTCGCCACTGTGACATCTGTCACCTCAAACCATGCCTTGCCACTGCTTGGGACCAGAAGATTCGTGATAGCTGCCACAAGCACTTGATAGCTGACAAGAGAACTATCAATTTCACAAAGAAGGCTGTGGAAAAGATGCTTCAGAAGGAACACTGCAGGCTTTTCATGAAAAGGTACCGCGTCAAGGATCCCATCCCAGTTTGCATTGTTTAAACCTTGGAACTGAAAGTAGATGTGTATGGGAAGAGGATGCTTGAAGATGAAGCTAACATGGAATCAAGCGATGAAGATGAAACGGTTGACGGGAACCTGGAGGAGTTGAAAGTCGACTTGTATGGTAATATGAAACTGTCGTGCAGGGATGACAGCAGCAACGATAGCAGCAACGATGAGTCAGAATCAGATGAGAGAGGAGGGAGAATGCAGAGAGAGGACCAAGTGTATGAAATTGTCTTGGACTCCTCCGATGAGGAGGGTGATGAAGAGCTGTACCGTCCTGTATTCCCAAAACAATCTGAGACAGTAAAGGTGGTCAGAAAACAAACTGATGCTCCTCCCGCCACAAAAGCAAACAGGGTCTCTATCGAAAGTGTCAATAACAAACTGGAGGCTAAGGAAGGCAACAAAGTAGAAAGTCTGTCGTCCTGCTCATCTGATGACGATGAAATGGAGTTCACGATGAAGCTTACGTGAAGGGAGACCTAACAATGAGTAGAAGAGTTCATAGTAGTATAAGTAGACAAAAACCATGTTAGTTCTCTTTTCTTTCTTTTTTGGTTTGGAGCTAGAGCTGCACGAGGTCCACTTAGTATCTCCCTCTCTCTCTCTCTCTCTCTCTCTCTCTCTCTTTAGCTCTCTCTCTCTCTCTCTTTCGAACTCTCTCGTCTCTATCTCTCTCTTTTGTCATTTTAGGTTTTGGAGGCACTTACAGATATTCTGGAAGTCTGGTGTGTAAAACTGTCGCAGTGGCATCTCCATCGTTATGGTACCCAGTTCCACAGTCTTTGCTTCAAACCTTTTCTCTCTGGGCTCCTTCTCATCACCAAGACCATTTTTGCTTGTGTCAGTCTCCTCTGTATCAACCCTTTTCTTGGCGGGCTTCTTCTTATCATCAAGACCATCGTGGCTCCCGTCAGTGTCATCGAAATTGGAATCCTCGGACTCCTTCTTTCCCACCTCCTCTACCTTATCCTCGTTGTCTTTTTCTTCCCCGTCATCATCCCCTTCTTCCTTTTCTTGCAGTTTGGTGTAATCATGGGGGTGGATGAGCCGGAGGTATTGTTCAATGTTCTGGGGGAGGTCCTTATCCTGTGAATTGAAGAAGGAATCATAGTGGAAGTGGGGGTAGATACGTGCCATACTGCTTTGCAAAAGACCAGACTCCCCGAACATCTCACTGGGATCGGTTCCCCCCAACATGGGTGATGTATCCCGCCTCATGTGAGAGTGACATGGGACCGACAACTGCATTGCCGTATTTGGTGTAAGTTAGCTGACCATCCAAATCTCGAGCATTTTTGTGGTGCCTCCCAAATATCCCGTTTTGGTCCAGAGGGATCTCTATGAACACTAACTTGCCTTTGAGTACCTGAATATCCGCTAGGAAGTTTGGAGTAAGCTCAATGTGACTCGCATTGACCTCCTTCAAGTCTGTGTCAAAGGTACTGTGGCGGTAATCTGCTTGATCGAAAGCATGGTAGTCCTCGATAAGCGCCTCCTTCCCGACTGCCTTGTGGAGGGCTGTCTGGAGGCACCAGCTACAAAGTTTCAAACTGTTTTTTCTGCCTTGATCGTTGGTGAGCTTCTTATACCCAAGGAGAGTACATAGAGCTGACTCCTCCGTCCGAAAGCCCTCTTGGTATGCTCTGGCAACACGGAGCGACTTCACAGCGGGATTGTAAGGCAGCATTTTGATTCCGTTGAAAACACTTGTATCGTCACGATAGTCGTATGGGACTGAATAGATCTGGTTCTTGGCAAGAATCTGAATTACAGACAACATATCTTTTGGGACCTCCACAATGTGCATGTCCATGTCGTGTTCCAAAAACTGGCGGGCTCCTGTAACATTATCCAATCCAGTAACTGCCGCCTCCTGGCCTTTGCAGCTCACCACTTTGCTGCCGGTGGGCTCATTGCTGTCATCCAAGTACTTCAGTTTCGATGAGAGAATCAAGAAGGAGGAAGTGCATCCAGGAGTCACACCTCCTTTATAGACCTGCAAGATGGGTGCCAGCATTTTTTGGAATGTTTGCTCGGTGAGGGTAAAGGAAGAAGTATCTGTGACCAAGTCGCCAACGACCCAGTGCCGGTACAGGGTGGATATATCATGTCCCATTTTGGAGGCAGATCCAATCTTTGTGGTCACCTGTTCTTTTTCGTCGAGCTCCACAATCATTCCGAAAATGAGGTTGCGAATGGTGGTTTGGCGCACGCATGCATGGTGGTATGATGCCACTGAGTAATGGTTGCCGGGGCGTGGGTTCTTCAAAATCTGTCCATTGCTTTGGTTCTTTGCGAAAACGGATGTGTTCATCATACGGTGTGCACGGGCGGACATCCCATGACGCATGGGGTACTTAGACAACAGGAAGTTAAACAAATTGTGACAGACTGGCCCCACACCACCAAGGTAGCCGAAACACTGGTAGGAAAGAGTCCCCTGTGATGGATTACCAATCAAATAGTACCTGTCCTGTTCAGTCCTCATGTATCCGCGACAGATGAGTTGAGCCATCATTGCGCACATCTGCTTGTCGTATCTGGGGCAGGTCCAATATGTTTTATTCAAATCATCTCTTTCGCCCAATCACTGTATCTTTTCAGCGTGAGTGCTAAATGGGTCAAATGGGCTCTTGTGGTGACGATAGAATCTGACGTGTTTGAGTAGGTTTCGTATAGGGTTTCAACGTTCCAGAACGGGCTGCAGGGTGTAACAGGAAAGTGATGAAGGTATTTCCTGTTTCTTGATAAGGAACTGGCGATTGTCCAAACCGTTTGTGACACATAGGACATTTGTCTTGCAGTTGCACTTGGAACCGCATGGACGAAAGGTGACATAGTTTGCAAGTCTACCCCCTTTGTGATGGCATCCTTAAAGCCCCCAAAGTGTTGAACCAGACCCAATTCTGGGTGTTTTTTGGAAACTGCAGCTCCTTTGCTCATGCTCCGGGCGTCACGGCACTTTGGAGAGATCCCAGACTGTTGGACACTGTCGAGGTATACCTTCAAAGTGGAAATGCCTTCAATCATGTCACCTTTTGGATGTTCCTTGAAGCGGAGAGATGGGCGTCGAAGTATCTCTTTGGGTATCTTGCCAACGTCTACTTGCTTCCCATTTATCGTAACTCTGTGTCTTTTCCACAACCTGATATCCTCCACGTATTCCATCGGAACCAGCCCCCATCAACCTTTGATAGCTTGAAAAGCTTGTGCCAGTTTCTCCATGGAGTTGCCCCCAGTAATTGGCCCGAACAATGTCTTGGCAGTGTCGCTCTCAAACCCATTTGCTATTTTCGTATTGTAGCATCTCGATGGGGGGCCCCTCGCAGCATTTGGGACTGTTTTCAAACGTTTTGTCAGAAGGTGCCCTCTCCAAGGGACGAGCCCACTGTCAACCCCAGGGGGGGCCTTACCATCTGGAAAAATCCGGTCGTGCGGGTAAAAGTATTCCTTCTTTACAGCCTTTTTGGCGGGGGTATCGGACAGCTCAGCTGGCTCCTCATCTGTGTCTGGGTCAGAATCAGGGTTGGCTGCTGCAGAATTGGGGTTGGCCACAGCACCGGCACCTTTCGCTGGGAGGAAAACTATCTCAGGTAGGTTTTCGTTGGCTTGGCTGCCCACTAGGTGGCAGTGAACCCATGGATCTTCCAATGGATTGGTTCGTACTGGTAGGAGGCTGCCATTAGATGTCATACTATCGTCGTCGTCTTTGTCTTGCTCTTCCCAAGTGGTCCACTTTTCGTGGAAAGTCCATCGCGCTGGTTTGTGAGCTGGTTTACCTTCGTTGTACTTATCGCGAAGTGCCTTTTCTTCTTTAGAATCATCTTTTATAATCCATTGAAGGTTTTCGATAGGGGGCATCGGGGCCAACGTATCTGCGAGTGAGCACTAACTGTCAGTGGCCCAGTCATTGGGTGGGTGTGGGTTGTTTACAAGTTGTAGAGCTTCCTGGTCGAGTACAATTTCTGGTGGCACTTCATAACTGACCTCTTCGGCATCTGCAGTCTCAGAACCTTCATTCCCGTCTTTGCCGTCGACTTTTGCGACGGCATCTAACTTGGCTTCATCAAGGTTCTGGTCATTGGCAATCTCGGCAACTGCGTCAGACCGACTCGCATTATCGCCACTTCCTTCATCTGAATGGACTGGGTCTTGTACAAAAGATGAGGGGGTATTGCTGCTGGACTTGGGCTTCTTGGATGCAAGACTGCTGGGGGAGTGGGTTGAACTTGGACGTTTCGTTGGTACACTTTGTTGTGACTTGGCTACCGTGCTTTGGTCATTGGTCGAACCACTGCTGGTCCCAGATCCACCTGGAGCATCATCGTCCATTTCTTTGAATGCTCTTGTGGTGTAGGCAATATGGGCTAGATGAACTCAGAATTTTGTGAGCCTTCTGGGCCAGAAATGGCGAAACAAGCCATTGGGGAGCGTGGGGACCACGGTAAAGAAGGCGTGGAGTAAAAACGATGCTTCTATCTTGGCGTTTCTCGAGTCAACTGATGGCGAAGGCTAACAACTTTCCACGCTGGAGAGAGCCCTGTCTGATTGTATCTGTGTTTGTTATGGGAGTAGAGTTCTCTAGGGATCTCGATTTTGATCTTGATTTTGATTTTGATCTTTGATACGAACAGCTGGCTGGCAAAGGATATGTCGTGAAACATCGCATCATCGAAAACACTCACAGCGATAATATGCGACAATACCATTGTGTACTGATTAATCTAACGATCTAAGAGATGTAAAGTTTGTATTTCCAAATAAGTGAGCAGTTATTGATTATTTTTTAGAATAAGCCTGCTAATTGTAAAGCTGTAAAGCTGAATTGTAAGCTGTATCCCGTCGCACTCCCTTACAGCTGAAATGAAGCTGGAGCAAGAAACGATAGGAGAGAGTCCCCAGCAAAGTGTTGAGGCAAATTACCATCCCATGAGGAGCTTCCGAATGACAGCAAACTGTGGAGCCGGAAGACCCTTAGTGAAAATGTCGGCCCGTTGTTCCAGAGTCGGAATATACTTGGCCACGATGCCCTTCGACTCCCCGATATTGGACCTGAAGAAGTGGTACTTCAATGCCAAATACTTGTTGCGCGCAGACATTTTGGGAACATTCAAAGAGACAAGAACCTTGGTTGTCTTCGAACACTGTAGAGCGCACGAGACTGTCAGTAATTACGGGCATTTCAGTTTGTACCAATTTCTTTGAGCAAGCTCGCATAGGAAGCAGCTCCTCATTGACATGCTGAAGGCAACATACTCAGCAGCAGTGGAGCTCAAAGTAATGTCAGTCTGTAGCTGCTGGACCAGATGATAGGGCCACCAAACAAAGTCAGACAATCCAGGCGAGACTTGACGGACACCAGGATCCTGATCATCCTCATATCCATACAATCCGGCGAGTCAGCATCGACCCAACAATCAAGTCCCTGATCAAGTTTAGGGCTAAAACAATGCCTTTGTCACTTGTGCCAATCAATACCGAATGATACGTTTATTGCTTGAGCATGGGAATGCCTGGGATTGTGACTGAACGTGCCACCTGGTGCACACTAAATTTGATGTCTGGGCGAGTGTTCGACGCATATAAAGCAGCATCCCAACTGCAGCTGGATAGCTCCACTCTTCTTCAAATGGGGCCCCAGTTTGTCAGCTCCGAGAGGATCGGTGGCGGCAGGAGAAAGCTTCTTGCTAGCGCTCAGACATACCAGTATATTCGATGACTTTATTGATGAGCCCTTTTTGAGTAAGCTCAACATTGTCTCCCTGTCTTTCAAAATTAATGGCGAGGAATCCAAAGATGTCACCTTTTTCTTCCAGGTGAGGTCATATCCAAGTTTCTGGAGCTGCCCAACATAGGACTCATCAGATCATTGTCTGGACTGAGCAAGATTTGGTTAATAAATAATTTAATACCATGATTGATGCTCCTTATGAATAAACAAACATGGGTCTGCTGCCGAGGTTTTCGAAACCAAGTTGGATCATCCGCGACATAGATGCTCATAAAATAATTTAGGTGAACGGTCTGCCATAGATGGACTTGTCAGTTTCAAAACACAGTCCTGTCCTTCATAATCTTTGGGTCGATAGTACTGAGGCAATTCCATGAACAGTGGCTGGTCGACAGGCTGAGGGCTTTTGACAGAAAGCAAGATAAAATACAACTTGTCTCGATTCCCATCATGTGCAGCGCAAGAAGAAGACCGGCTCTAAACAGTGGGCCAACCAACAAGTGGAGAGTAGCGACGC